ACACCAGGAGGAATTTCCTCATGGAAAGGGCTGTCCAGCCCTGGCACAGCTGCCCAGGGCAGTGGTGGAGGCCCCATCCCTGGAGGGATTTCAAAGCCCTGTGGATGTGGCACTTGGGGACGTGGTCAGGGGTGGCCTTGGCAGTGCTGGGGAGGGTTGGATTTGATGGGCCCAGAGGGATTTTCCAGTCTCCAGGATTCTGTAATCCCATGATTTTTGCAGATCCACACTGTGGGACACAAGGCAGAGCTGCTGGAGACAAACTGCACGTGGCAGGTAAAAATAAACAACTAAAAATGACCAATCCATGCAGGAGCCACCAGATCTCATTGGGAATGGGAATGGCCAGTGATGATGGGAGCACCGAGGCAGAGACCCACAGCAGTGTTTCCATGGGGCAGCAGCCCCAGCAAAACTCTCCCTGGGAAGGGAAATTCCCACTTACTTTTTATTGGAGATGCAGTCGAGTGCCTGGCAGACAAGCATGTACAGGTACTCCACCTGGAAAACAGCACCTGGAGCTGGGAAAGGTTGGGAGCAGCTTCCAGGAAAGCTACTCCACCCAATGAACCACCCTCCCCCCAGCCTCCCATTATCTCAGGACAGCTGGAGTTCAATTCCATGAATTCTTGTTGTCCTTTTCCCTGTTTCAGCCATCCTGAGGCCAGATTTGGGGAAATCCCTGGAATTTTTCAAAGCTAGTTTGGAGCTAGCTGGCTTTGAAAGGTGTAGTGGGAGGTGTTCCTGCCTATGGCAGAGGAGTGGTACTGGATGGGCTTTAATGTTCTTCCAACCCAAACCATCCCGTGATTTTATGAGGAGATAAGATTTTATATCCCACCCTCTGCAGAAAAACGGGAGCACAGCAAAATCCCTGCCCTTTCCCGGGCTGCCAACACCTACAAAGGAATTAAATTTAGGAACGGCAAATCCTTTTGTTCCCATTAATCGTTTAACTCAGGTCTCTCAAAGCCAAGGGGGGATTCCAGGGTGACCCCACGGAGCTCAGGGCTCGTGGAATGGGCCTGGGATGCAGCAGGGCCCCCCTGGGTGCTCACCTTCCTGCTGTAGATGCAGGCAGAGCCCTGGATCAGCAGCGCCGCCTCCGTGAAGTTCATGGTGGTTCTCCCGTTGTCGAAGGAGATGCAGATCTGATCCAGCTGGGAAGGGCAGGGACAGGACAGGCTGAGTCCCGGGGGGGTGTGGGGGTGGCACAGGGAGGGGGACGGGGCAGGAGCCCCCCGTTACCTCCTCCAGGTACTCCCCGAGCTGGGTGGCCACGTCCACCTCCCAGTTCTTGGTGAGGTCCCGGATGGGCTGGAGCAGGTGCAGGAATCGCGACTCCACCTCCTCCATGGCGGGATCCCGGCACAGACACCCCGGGGGGGCTCAGACCACGCGGTCCCGGACAGGGGAACCCACAGGGAACGGCTGAGGGTCAGTGGGATCCCGGGAGAGCTGGGGCAGGAATCCCAGATCAGCTGGAGTTCAACGGAAAAGCAGCAATTCAGGTAACGTGGGATCGTTGAGGTTGGAAAATCCTTACCCTGATCCTGATCCCAATCCCGATCCCAGCCCCAATCCTCACTCTGATACAATCCCAACCCCATCCAGACCCCACTCCCAATCCCAACCATGGATCACAACCCCAGTTCTGTTCCTGACCCTGATCCAGACCCTGGCACCAACCCCAATCCTGATTTTGACCCAGTCCTGATGCCAATCCCAATCCCAACCCGGGGTCACAACCCCGACCCTGACCCTGATCCCGATCCCAACCCCAATCCCGATCCTGACTCCCATCCTGACTCAAACCCAAATCCCGACCCCAACTCCAACCTTGACCCCAATCCAATCCCGACCCCACTTCCCAGACCGACCCCAACCCCGGATCCCAACCTCAATCCCGACCCCGACCCAATCCCAGTCCCGACCGCATTCCCAACCCTGTTTCTGACCCTGACCATGATCCTGCCCCTGATCCTGATCCCAATCCCGACCCCATCCCAATCTCGACCCCGGATTACAACTCTAGTCCAGATCCCAACCCTGATCCCGATTCTGATCCAGATCCAGCTCCGGTCCCGACGCCACTCCCAACTCCGACCCCAATCCCGAACCAGATCCCATCCCCAATCCCGACCCCGAATCAAAACCCCAATTCCCGTTCTCCCTCACTCCCCTCCCTGTCCCTCACCGCTCCCATCCCCTCTCTTCCCCTCTCTCTCCCCTCCCTTCCCTCTCCATCCCCTCTCCCCCCCTCACCGCTCGCTCCCCGCCGCCATGTTCGGGTTTCCCGCGCGCGCCGCGCTGTGACGTCATCGGTGCGCGCCGCGGGGGCCTGAGGGGGGGCCGCCATGGCGGAGGCGGCGCGGCCGCGGGCGCTGTTCCTGGCCGGGCTGGCCGCCGTCTATGTGGCCGCTTTCGGCTCCCTCTACGTGCAGATCCCCGGTACCGCGGGGGGAGGGACAGCCGGGGGCCGCGGGGGAGGGCCGGGCAAGGGCGGGGATGGGGCTGGGGCGGTCGGGACGGGGTCGGGATGGGGCCGGGGACGTGGCCGGTGGAGCCGAGATGGGGACGGGAGAGTCGGGACAGAGCCAGGACGGAGCTGGGACGGGTCCGGTAGAACCGGGATGGAGCCGGGGCAGAACTGGGAGGAGTCCAATAGAACGGGGATAGAGCTGGAAGGAGTCCAGTAGAACTGGGATGGAGCCAGGACGGGTCCGGTAGAACCGGGATAGAAGCAGGGATGGGACCGGTGGAGCCGGTACAGAGCCGGGACGGGTCCAGTTGAACCGGGATAGAGCCGCGGATGGGGCAGGTAGAACCAGGAGAGAGCCGGGATGGGGCAGGTAGAACCAGGAGAGAGCCGGGACGGGGCCGGTAGAACCGGGATGGAGCCGGTACAGAGCTGGGGCGGGTCCGATAGAACCGGGATAGAGCTGGCATAGGGCAGGTAGAACTGGGATGCAGCCGGGATGGAGCTGGAACGGGGCCAGTAGAACTGGGATAGAGCTGGGAGTGGGAGCAGCAGAGCCGGGACGTGGCCAGTGGAGTCGGGAGTGGGACTGGTGGAGTTGGGATAAAGCTGGAACGGGCCCGGTGGAGCCGGGACAGAGCCGGGATGGGGCTGACAGACCCCCCCGGGGCCGCAGGGCCGCCCCTGCCATCCCGTTTCCCTCCCCATAACCTGATCTCTCCCTTACTGGGAAGACCAGGAATACTGGGGAGCAGCTCCTCTGCCCCCTCCACCCTCCTCAGGGGTCCAGGGGGTGCTCGGGCCCCCTCTGAGCCCCCCAACTCCCCCCTGGGCCCCCCAACCCCCTGCCCACGGCAGGCAGTGGTGTCACCTCCGTCCACGTGGCCGGGCTGGATGTGGCAGCTCCTGGGCTGCACCTGGGCTCTTCCCACTGGCTCCCGGTTCCAACTGGGAAGCTGGGATGGGGACAGCCTGGAGCCCCCCCAGTCAGCACATCGACGAGCTGCCACGGGGATGAGGCCGAGGTGCTGCCCGGGGGGCTCCCGGCCGTGCTGCCCCAGTTTTCCTGGGAATGCCTGACTGCCGTTCCCATTCCAGGCCTGTACGGCAGGGAGGGGATCCTGCCGGCCCGCAAGGTGCTGCGGCTCAGCGGGAAGGGGCTGTGGGAGCAGCTCCGGGATTCCCCCACCCTGCTGTGGCTCAGCCCACGGCTGGGGCTGGACACGGAGCAGGGCATGGAGCTGCTGTGCCTGGTGGGCATCCTGGCGTCCTTCGGAGCCCTGCTGTGCGAGTCCATGCGGGACTGCCTGGTCTTCGCCCTGCTCCGGGTGCTCTACCTGTCCCTCTACCAGGTGAGGGGCTGGGGGGGTCCCTGGAGGGGGGTGGCACCGTCCTGTGTGCTCCTGGTGTGCTCACATTCCCTCGTGGAGCTGGGGAAGGGGTTGGGAGATACGGTCAGGGAATCAGGGAATGGTTTGGGCAGGAAGGGAATTTTAATCCCATCCCAATCCAGCCTCCAGGGGCAGGGACACTTTCCACTGGCTCAAGTTGCTCCAGCCTGGCCTTGGATACTTCCAGGGATCCAGAGGCAGCCACAGCTTCTCTGGGAGATTCATTCCAGCCCCTCCCCACCCTCCCAGCCAGGAATTCCTTCCCCATATCCCATCTAACCCTGCCCTCTGGTCCTGGGAAGCCATTCCCTGTGTCCTGTCCCTCCATCCCTTGTCCCAAGTCCCTCTCCAGCTCCAGGACAGGTTGGACAGGGCTTGGAGCTACCTGATCCAGTGGAAGGTATCCCTGCTCACAGCAGGGATTTGGAATGGGATGGGATTTAAGGGGTCTCTTACCACCCAAACTATTCCATGATTCCATGAATCCTCCCTCCTGCCGCCCCGGGAGCTCCAGTGAGTCAGAGCCGGCTGCTGTGGGGGGAGGAGGAGGGTTTATCTTCCCTCTGGAATCAGGGAATTATAGAGGGATAAATCACCCGTGTTTGACCTTCCCCCCCCCCCGGGGTAGGGAATCGTCACCTCCCGGGGTGGGGGCTGTCCCCTTGGAATTCTGTATCCCGGTGTGGCTCTGGCTGTTCCCGGGCCCCTTCCCTCCTCACTCCCTTCCCTCCTCACTCCCTTTTACGGCAATGCTGGAAGCACATCCCTGGAAGCACATCCCTGCTCCTCCCCCGGGCCGGGCTGTGGGCAGGGAACACTCCCAGTGTGGAATGGCCCCCCCGGGACACCCCCCCTCCCCCGAGCATTCCCGGGCTGTGATCCCAGTGCTGCCGTTCCCACGGCTCTTTGGGATTGGCCTGGAGCCCCGGGCTGGGAAAGGAGCTGGGGGGGGCCAGGGGGGGTCTGTGCCCGGCACTGTCCATGTGGGGAAGGGTCTGGGGGTCAAACCTGCCCCACTCACCCCCTGCTCCCTCTCCACAGGTGGGACAGGTCTTCCTGTACTTCCAGTGGTGAGTCAGACCCCCCCTTGGGCCCTTTGGGGGGGCTGTGGGGGGCTCGGAGCTGGGGGAGATGTCCTGCACCCCCTGCAGCCCCAGGGTGGGGGGCACAGCAGGATGGG